AAAAGAAAATTGGGGAGAAGGAAGTCCCAATTGTTGCACTGCCAGAATTTTACAGGGACAAGGGAAAACACATTTAGCCACTACAAGTTCTATCTACAAGGATGATTAACCTAAATGGCAAAGCCATTACTCAATGGCTAGTTCACTGGGAAGGTTCTAGCGCTGACGATGCTACGTGGGAGAGAGCAGATGAAATACAGGCTACTTTCCAAGATTTTCAACCTCGGGGACAAGGTTATTCGAAGGGGGAGGGATGTTATGATGACAGCAGGAAGAGAGAGGATCAACCGAGCTGGGGGGGAAAAGGGAAGAGAAGTAGCCGATCAAGGAAGAGAAGACGAAGCTCCAACGGCCAACTGATTTTGGAATCCACAGACGGTGTCGTTTGGTTAATAGGAGTACGTTGTCGTTTTGATTTTTGAGTCTAAAATTGTAAAAGGACAAAAACGTTTTATTTCCCCTTGTTGCACAATTTTGGGACCTGTTATATCTAACAGGTCCAACGAGGAAAGAGGCCATTGGTATGTGTGATTTCTCCCCTGTTATTTCTCTCTCTTCTCCTCTTCTTCTTCTTCAAGTTTATTATCCTCTTTTCACATTGTAACATCAGTTGCTTCGATTAATCTATTGGTGTTGCATTTACTGGAATTGTTGAGTAATTACTGTGGGTGCTTGCGTTGAGATTGGGGATTGAAGCTCAACCATAACAGTGCATTATGGATTGAGCTGTAACTATTCGAGAAAATGCTGCAATCAAAAATGTCGGCGTACCTGTAATTTTGCGAGTCCTTGTATAGAGATTAGGTCACCACTTTCAGCTTGTTTTCTTAATTTCATTTTAAAACCCATTACTGAATTTGATAGTTTGCACTTTCCATAGAGCGGGATGTTCAGAGGGATTGACATAATCAGTTTTAAGGTAAGTTCTTTGACTGGATGGAGCACGCTCCTTATGATGCATGTAATATAATCAGGCTATGATTTTTTTCTAATATAATATAGCCAGTAACATCTGCTTTCAAGACATTCATATTGTAAGTAGTTGACAAGTCACGGAAACATGAAATATTAGTCAGATTCATTATATATGAGAATTTGATCAAATCAGATCACTTAATGCAACAAGTAATTTCATAACATATGAGATGAGATATTACGAGATTATTGAAATTTGTTGTTTTTTTTTTTTTTTGTTCTTTTAGGATGAATTATGCGATAGGTAATTTCATAACACGTTTCTTTACCTTGTGCTGGAATTTCAGCTCCTCAAAAGTTGAATTGCCCTGGTATTCTGTCCTGATTTAGAATCAAAGCTGAAGTACCTTTTTGCTTCTCAAATTTTTTTTGTGCTGAATGCCCTTTAAAGACAGCTTATTTTATTTGCGCATCCCTATCCTCAAAATCGTATGTGAGCACCATATTGAACAATTGATACTTTTAATATATGGTGAGCACTTGTTAAGGAGAAAGCAGAAGGGTTCTCCTCTGATTCTAGAAGGAAAAGGGAATTGAAGAAATTTGTTCGTGATGGTAACTACAAATTGAAAAATTGAGGAAAGGGATCATCTTAATACTAACTACTGGGGAATTCTCTTCTATATATGCCAGCAATTATCGTTTTTTATTTTCATCTGAATGGAAACAGATGTTCCTTCACTCTATCCACTTGTTTACCTGGCTTAGTGTTTGATTGCTTCCTCTTGTTCTCTGATGGTGGTGTTTTGAGGAGAGCTTTCAGACCTGAAAATATATTCCTCCAAACATTAAAATTTTCTGGAATTGGTTTGAGATTTGTAGTAAACTGTAAAACTACGTATTTCAAGGGGTCCACTACTTCAAAATTAACCAGAAATAGCTTTTTATTAAGAAAGACTCGAATAAGAGGAACAAAGATGATTTTGCTAGGGTAAATCTGAACTTGAAAAGCTTGATGGAAGAATCAAGAAATATTGATTGGGAGGATAAGGCAGTGGACTTGGTGAGAGATTGAAAGTCAGATAGGAGGAATTAGAAGGGTTAAGAAATATTGACCGGGAAGATGAAGGTAGTGGATTTGATGATGGATTTTGAGAGTTTTAAATTACCTAATATTAAAACCCAATGTGCGGAATTATACAATTAATAACAACAAATTACTTTTTATTTGTTTCTGGTTAGATTAAACAAGTCAATTTATCCTAAATTTGAATACCACAATCAATAATTAAAGCAGTTAAGAACACCAAAGATGATCACGAAGAAATCCCAACTGGGTAAAAATTTCGTACACTTTGCCAATCAATAATCTACTATAAATCGAAGCAAACTTACTGTACGGTCCAGACCCGTCTAGCCAGTAAAACTTTTGACTAGAATTCTTGCAGTCTCCCTTGATCCTATTGAAAGTGTGCTCCTTCAAAATAAATCTCGACTCCTGGTTGATACTTTAGCCCTCCTGGATTGCGTGCTCCTAACGCCAAATCCTGACTCTTGGAACCTCACCTTAGCTATCCTGAATTTATGCTTCGGAACAACTTACGATCCTTGGTATCGATTTATCTTCGGTGGATTAAATGGTTTGGTGTTTGATCAAAAGATTTTGTGCGTTTTGATCTATGGTTTAATATGAAACAATATGGTTTGATTAATAAAATATGTTTTGGATGAATATATAGATCAAGTAATATGTGCTGGTTGAATCTTAGAATCAATGAATGTTTTAGATCTTCAAATAAATGATCTCTATGGAATAAATATAATTCAACACACTTTTGGACGTTCATAAAGTAGGATATATATAGGGAAAAGTGTTTGGAATGAAAAGGAATTGAAAAATCAAGTGTTTGAAGCAAAACAGATTTCTGAACGTCGACCCATCTTTAGAACGCCAAGCCAGTCACAAGCGAGCAGCAGTTGAGCAGTCATCAATATTTTTATCATAACTTTCTCTCCCGATATCCGATTGAGGTGATTCAAAATGAGTTGGAAAACTAACTCAAATGGCTAAAATTCTTCTACAATAGCCTTGTCTAAATTCCAATGTTTTTTATGTGAAAAATCCATTGCAAGCTACGACTGAGAATTTGAAGCATAACTTGTACGGCTCTTTGACACTCTTTAAATTTCTAGTTGTATTCTCTTGATCATATGTGATCGTCTTGGACTCGTTCAATGACTATACTACAAACTCCAACTCTTTTGACTTTAATTAGGACTTAGTAATTCATATTTTGATTTTGATTACAACTCGATAAACTCCTAGTACAATTCAATTAGGACTTGATTTTGATTGAGGAAATTACCAATTACAAATTTAAAAATTGTTAATTATAATTTGGACTTAACAGATTTATTGCTCATTGTTATGGCATTAAAAAATTTTAATGACTACTGTTGAATGCGATATTTTATGCTTGCATGTAAGAATAAGTGTTGACATTAAATGTTATTGTACTTTAATCCATATCTTTTATGTTTCACTAAAGATGAATTTTTTCTATAGTTTGTTGGTGAGAGGGTTCAGTGGATGCATATTGACATGTCAGGCCTAGCTTGGAATGGTGAGAGTAAAGAGAACCAACCACACTCCACTACTTTTTAATTCGGAAGTGTATTGTCGAGGTTTTTCCAGAACCAGAAGCAATTTCCTCTGGTGATCAAGAGCCCAATCTAGATCCAATATCGAGTCAAAAATTGCGGAATAGGATTTGACGCGGTGGTTATGTAAAACTAATTCGTAAAGCGCGCGCACACACACAGAGGCTTGCATTTACTTTGCTAGGGGCTTTTTGATTGTGACCATTGTTTTGTGATTTCGGATATTTGTTGATTTTTAATTCTTGCTGGTGCATTATGTATGAGCGTGTCAATTCCTATGCTTAGTATAGTTTTGAGTTGGGCTTTCAATTTGTTTTGAAATTTTGGTTGTTGCACAGGTTTAATTTTTAAAACAATATATATATATATATATATTGACACGCTCAAAACTATACTAAGCATAGGAATTGACACGCTCATACATAATGCACCAGCAAGAATTAAAAATCAACAAATATCCGAAATCACAAAACAATGGTCACAATCAAAAAGCCCCTAGCAAAGTAAATGCAAGCCTATGTGTGTGTGCGCGCGCTTTACGAATTAGTTTTACAAAACCACCGCGTCAAATCCTATTCCGCAATTTTTGACTCGATATTGGATCTAGATTGGGCTCTTGATCACCAGAGGAAATTGCTTCTGGTTCNTTCAATAAAATAATATTTTTCATCACATCAATAATTTTTTCTTCTTTTTCAACCACACATTTTCCATCATATCGCTATTCAAAAATCAATTCTTCCCCCAAAAATTCCTACCAAACAAGCACTAAATTTTTCTTCGTCGGTAAATGGTGACTTTTCCAGACCAATTATAATGGTAGGCCAATGTTTACTACTGCCACTTATGATTTCATGACAAGTAGTATTGTTGACCAATATATGACTTTTCCCGATCCAAAATATGGTCACAAAATAGTCGTATCGTTACCGACTAACATAATTTTGTTAAGTAAAATATTTTACATTTCCCGATCAACTGCCAACCAATATTTTCTAGTTTGTGAATCGTTTTACCGACTATTATTGGTCTTTTAGCATCCAATTTTTTGGTCTGTAAAACTCATATTTCTTGTAGTGTTCGTTTATAAATAATATTGAATATATTGAATATATCCTTGTAATTTTTCTTTTCAATTGTTTTGTCATATTAGGCTTAACATAATTTGTTTGTGGACTAATGAACAAAATGCCAATTAGAATCACTCGTATCTATTGATCAGACAAATAGTGTACTATATTTTTCTATTTTTTATTTCAAACAATATATGGTGCAACAAATATACTGTTCTCACTGCATCGAATCATTAATTTATCGCCTTTGCTACTATTTCTACCGTACATTCTCCACATACTATAATTAATTAATGGAGACAAGAGGCTAGACACCACAAATTGTAGCGTTATTCATCATTTGCACATTCTTTAAGTACTGGGATGGTGCACCAAGAAAGTATCGTCAAAGAGTGTGGACTTGATGAACTCTTGAAGTACTGGGAGTTGTTGGTTGTCATCGTAACTGTACATTAGAGGAACCATTCTTGCAAGATTAAGAGAAGCTTTTGTGAAGGATGAATTTGATGAGTTTTGATTTAAACGCAAACACTCTTTGTTAAGATTTTTCCATTCACGTGATATAATATCAACAACACGCTTTCGAGCAATCTCAACGGCTAATCCTGGATTCTCTCTCACATAGCACTCTATGTACGAACCATCATTTCCATCTTGCTGCTCATCCTGTCATTAGGTTGATACAAAACAAGTTAACAACAAACATGTAATTAATTAACATGGAAGTATCAATCATGATGTTTTAAATTCGAGATGATGGTATATGGAGTTATAATATAAAATTTTAGTATGTAATTTACCTTGGCACTTCCAAAGTCATCCCAGAGACGGAGAATAGCGGCCACAGAAGATATTAGTTCTGATATATCATCCAACTGAACGGCCCCTCCTGTTCTTTTATTGATTCCCAAAAGATAGAAGAGGTGGATGAGCACCACATGTGCTCCTGAACTCACCTTCCCATTTTCTAGGTACTCATTGGAGGTTGGCAAGTGCCCTGAAGCAAACCATTTAGCTTCTACTAGGAATGCATCACACAGACTTGCCCACTACAATAAATGAAGGATATACCATTAATGTGATCTTGTTTGGTTTATCTGAAAATGTTAGATTTTAATATGAGTCAAAATCAAGAATTAATTTTAACCATTTTGACATATAATTTTTATCGAATTTTTGACAACACATTTTATCAATTTTTATCAAAATGTACTAAAAATCTTATTTTTATCTATACCAAATAGGAGCCATGTATTGGTACGGATGGAAAAGACTATCCATCTTACCGTTGATTTTAGGGAATCAATGGGATTATATCCATGTTTTTTGTAAATCTTGTAGCCTATATCATTTGTCGTGTCAAGAAGGGCCTTGTAGCACATCTTCCAGGATTTTGGTAACATGTGAATGGCCTTAGAGTCCCACCTGTACACAATTTAAATATTCAAATCATCAAAAGATATTCAAGTTAAAATCCTCGGTCAACATATTGCATGTCCACTCTTGTTAGTGTTTAGAGGGCTGTAAAATTTACAGTCCTCTAAACACTGTACATGTGGTGTTTTTGAACTAGAAAAGAACATAACACAAGCAAAGAAGATGAGGATAGCCCAGCATGTTTTATACATGTGTACAGCTCGAGTAAAGACAGTAAGTTCTTCTGGTGTCCCATAAAGATCAAAAATGTCATCTATTATGTAAATAAACGTGATGGATTTGGTGAGCTCAAGCCTTTGCTCTGACATGCTTGGATCACTTAGGGAGGCCATGGACCATGTATACCATTTTAACGGTTGGTTCCTAGCCTGCTTAAATTCCTGAGCTAAGCCAAGGTCTTTCCACCA